TCTAACCGAGATACTATTCTAATGCACGCGGGATTTGGACAGATTAATTAATCAGCTTCATCTTTAGCTTTCAGCTTTAAACATCGAGTATTTCATGTGATTAGCCGAAAATTTTCCTAACTCTTTCGAAATCTCTCCACTAAGAACACCATTTTTTTATGAATTATTCTTCTATCAAGAAACCTTTCTGCACCTTAAGTAGCTTCATCGTGTGTGAACCAGTATATCGTTTTGTTTTGTACTGAATTTATCAATGTTATTTCCTGTTTTTCTTTTTCTTATGTACTTATATCTCATTCCAGATGTCCATCTCCATCACTGCTTTTTTAGCTGTTACATAGAAAGTTATAAAGAGCCAATCTTTGCATAAACGGACTAACATATTTTTTCTGACTCCTCGTTCATATCAATAAGGAAAGTTTTCAGGGACGTAGAAACCAAACCCAGGCTTCTCACTAACAACAAAGCGATCAATTTATATGTAACAGATTTTCTCCATGATTCGCCATATTTGTAGAATGCAAAATTCCGTGACGACATTAAATAAGTTAACCTGATTGGTTAGAAAGACGCATCCTGATTGGTTAATCAGATTCTAGCTGATTAATCATGAGACGCTCGAGGCACATGCTCGGTGGAGTCCCAATGTCTGTTATAGTTTTTTTTTTTTTTTATATATCATCCCAAACAAAAACGAACAGAGAGAAAAGGCATGCACCCAATGGTGTTTCAAAATAAATTAATTATAATTAATCAATTGGATTTAATTAAAGTGGCCGAGTGATTATTATTTTGTCATGACATTGAATGTTTACATTCTGTTATGGCGTATTACGGAAAAATGATTCTATGATATTAGGTTTAATGATAATTTTTTGATCGGTAAAAAAAATCCCTAACTTGATATCTACATCCCTGAAAAAATAGTTTTTAGAAGCTTAAAAATAAATAAGGGCAGTAATTGGGATATATTTGTCTGTTTATACGAAGATTATCTTTTTATTTTAAGCGCTTACTACAGGCGCAAAATTTAAGGGTTTTATTTTTCATTTTTTTTTAAACAATAATAATAATAGTGATAATAGGAAATAATAATAAAATTAACAGCGTTCAGCGAAGACGGAGAAGAGGTCACAGCAAGCCCGAAATGATAGGTGGAGCATCGCTCGAACTGACGTTCTTGGTGACGTTAGTGTTGGTACTGTTGCCTGTGGTACTGGCGGCGGTGATGGTCGTAGTTGTCGTGGGTGTGCTCTGACCCGCGGGGGATTGAGCTACGTCGCCCAGACGTTCTGTAACCTCGACATCCTTCGCTTTTGATGGGCCTTTAGTAGCCCGACCGTTGTTCTGCACGTTCTTTGTCCACTTGTTTCTCCATTCGACGAACAGGGTGCCACAGAAGAGAATAGCGAATAGGGCTACGCCAATGCTGATGCCGATCGCCAACTGGGCATCAAAGCCTGTTAAAAAAAAAAGAAAAAAAAAGATAGTCACGAATGTTTAAATGAGAAATCCAGTCGCGATTCTTCTAGAAAACAAAAAAAAAAAGTAAACTTTTCTTTTCGTAACTAGTTATAAAAAATGAAAATAACCCATGACAATGAAGAAGAAAGATGATCCATGAAAAATATAGAAAGATAATCCATAAAAATAGAAAAATAATGAAAAAAAATCTGAAAAAAAATACTTAAAAAAAATCTTAAGTAAAACTCCCGTCTTGATCCAAGATCGAAACGGTATAAAGTATTTCTTTTCTATTTTCTTTAATTCTACGCCTGACCATAGTGTTTCTTCACGACATAAGAGATCATGGTTCTCCACAACTTTCTAATACGTGCGCTTTAACAGTTTTTCGCCCCCAAAGATATCTAAATTTTACGTGCGCATCTTTGTCTTTAGATGTCTTATTGCTGTGGTGTCCTTCCTCTAAAGAGTCTATGTTAGACTCTTCCGCCTACTATAAGATTAGTAGCAGGACAGAAGGCTTCGGGGAACTTGAATAGATTGAGTGCTAGTTCATTCGATACACACTCACTAGTCGTGTAATACTCTTTTGGTGTACTTACTGTTTAATATACGATATATCTGCAAACCTGGTTTTTGTTATTACCACCAGCACATATGATTCGGTGCGGAGAACCAATTACACTTTTTGAAGGGCCGAATACATAGACCTGATGCACTACCTGCCACAAGGTCCCCAAACGACCCTTCGCAGATGTTTAATTCAGAGTTTTTCCTTCTCCTAGACTAATTGCCTCCAAGGTTATATAACATAGTCTGTCCTGCTATTTACCCATAGCTGGAGAGAGAAGAAGTGGACTCATACCTTTCCCATATATATATATATATATATATATATATATATATATATGCTTGTGTGCGTGAGTGACAGAATAAGGAAAATAGATAGATTTATAATATCTTTCTCTTTTATTAAGTCTCCATAAAAGAATGAAATATATATATATATACAGAGAGAGTGAGAGAGAGACTTGACATCGCTTGGGCGTGAAAGTTATAATAACCTACAGTGCTGACTTCTATGGACATTCTATCTATCTATCTATCTATCTATCTATCTATCTATCTATCTCTCTCTCTCTCTCTCTCTCTCTATATATATATATATATATATATATATATATATATATATATATATATATATATATGTACGCTCCACCATAAAGAGAAAGAAAAACTAGGGTAGAAACTGTACAGTTCAAAAGAATAGTAAACTGAATATTTCTCTCTGTTGTTAACGTTTCTTTAGGTGGGAAAATTTTTAACGTTGCAACAAGATGTACAGTTTCGTAGTGGGCATGTACATGTTTTAATGTAAAAGTGCATCATAAATAAATATTTATTGCTCTACTTTTGTATTGAGCCATGTTTTAAATTAATGATTTCAACGCTGAAATCTTACTCTTCGTTCTTTTACAATTGTATATATATATATATATATATATATATATATATATATATATATATATATATATGTGTGTGTGTGTGTGTGTGTGTGTGTACTGTGAGCGCGTGTGTATGTGCTGTGTGCGCACGCTTGTGTGTGTATATCCACATTTTCTTATTTTCATTATATATATATACATATGATCGATGTAAGTGTGTTTATATGATAGTAGACACTTATTGTGGGAGTTTTGGCACGTCTTTATATACTTATGCATTTCTGTTGATCTGGATTCATGAGAAAGACTTACAATAACTGATTTTGTTACGCGTAAATTTTATTATGCAGATCAAATGTTGTCCGTTATCTTTTAAATAAATATCTCTAATAATATAATGATTAAATTTTATTCTTTATTTTCAGATAATTAAGCGATAATGTCACAATAGAAACAGCATGTTGTAAAATTAGGTAAATTGTGAAAAGGTTGAACAAAGATCACAGAACAAACCAAAAAGAAAGGGAAATATTAGCAAGATATAAACAAGAAAATAATCTTCAGAATTTTAGACGCAAGGAGTTATTGAAAGTGACAGTAACTGAGAAAAAAATTTAATGAGGATATATATATATATATATATATATATATATATATATCGGGTGTAACACAAAAATTATCCAAGTTGGCATAATTATCCATCCCACAAAATGTTTAATATTAAAAAAACCACGAAACTAATTGAGTTTCTTTTTTCCAGGATTTCAGATTAGCCGTCTTGACTCCATCTTCGTAAGAATCGCTGAAAAATCATTTGAGTTATTCTGCTAAAAAGAGAGGAGGTTAAAAATAGTGAAAGGAAAAAGCACATTCACGCCTTCAGTAATGGTACGAACATTCATACACTGGCTTCCATCTTTAAAGTTCATTCAAGATCCATCAAGAGAATGGTGAATAAAGTTAAAAATGAGGGAAAAGTAGAGAGGAAAACTGGAACAGGAGGTCACAGCAGGAAAGAGGATCATCAATTCAATTTAGAGCTAAAGAGATCAATTAGAAAATATCCATCTCGATTCGTAAGACGTTTGGCACTTGAGAGAGGAGTTTCAGCAATGACAGTCCAAAGAGCGGCGAAAAAAGATGAAATCGTTCGTGAAACATGTGAGGCAACTTGTTACTCCAACATAGAAAGCTAGAAGGTTAGAGAGGGCAAAGATCATCTTGAATAAGTTGGAAAATGATCCTGGAGTAATAAATATATATTTGAACTTAATTTCAATCCTTCATAAGCTTCCGGTACTTAGCTATGATTAATTAATGATGAACATGTCATATTCGTTTATCATCAAATTCATCACGATTCTTATGTTAAGTTTGGAGAGTTCATTATGTATTCTTATTGCTCAAAGTAGAGTCCAATAGTGTTATAAAACCTCGGAGAATTCCAGTATTATATCTTTAATCACTTCTAAGTTTCAGCTATTCAAAGCTTCATCTAACAATTGATGTTACACGAGTTGGACAATTTTGCTGTTACACCCGGTATATATATATATATATATATATATATATATATATATATATATATTAATTATTATATATATAACGTACCTACGTTTTTGGCGTGCGACTATAGTTTCGCTGGATGGTGTTCCCAGTTCGTATAGGCCTCGTGCCTGACAATCTGGGAAGACCACCCGACGAAACTATAGTCGCACGCCAAAAAAAACGTAGGTACGCTGATATGTTAATACATATCTTTGCTCTGTATAACCACATTGAGCACTATTACGTTTACACTTCATGCATGAATTTAACGATTATCTATTTGCTTGCTTGCGTATGTACACCAACACACGCGTACACGCCAGCTTATATTTGGCCGTTTCATTTATATATAGTTGATACTGATCTAAAACTGTGCTTAAATTCATGAAGTCGAGATACCCGAAGAGAAAAGGTCATCAGTGCAATTACCGGTAAAGCACAGGAAGCTACGTTACGGCAGTGGGAAAGTGATTGCAATCAAGATGACGGGTATATATATATATATATATATATATATATATATATATATATATATATATATATATAATATCCAACTAGGATAACA